GGTGCACTTCTAATACCTGCAACTAGCTGTGGCCAAAACAAGTGGCAAGGGTCTTCACCAGCTCAGAAGATTCTCTGTTGCAATCAAGACATCATGTCATTCATTTAGTGGGTTGGGAGAAATACAGTTCCATTTGTGGAGGGGGAGAGGTAGAAGACAGGATCTCCCCAGGATAACCCTGCAGCAGCTGAGATCCCACCTCTGTCTCAGACACCTGAGCCCTGTTTTCCAGAGATCTAACTCTGGGTCACTAGACCACTTCTGAGCTACAGTAACCCATGAATAGGCTACCCCAGTAGCTCAGCAGTAAAGAATCTGCCTGCAATGCAGGAGACGCAGGTTTGATCCCTAGGTAAGGAAGATCCCCTGGAGAAAGGCACGGCAACCCACTCCAGTATTCTTGCCTGGAGAATCCCATGGACAGAGGAGCCTGGCAGGCTACCATCCAAAGGGTTGCAAAGAGTCACACACGGCTGAAGCTACTGAGCACACACGCACGCAACCCATGAACAGATGAACAACGACTCCCCAAAGAATTCTAAGGTTATTAAAGCCCTGATCTCAGCGTAAGAAATATAAAGCACAAACAAAAAACACCACTCAGTTCCTTTCTGATCAAATCACTCTTCCATCAGAAAGAATTCTGAGAAAAAAGTACTGCCTCATGTTACACACATTTACTCCTGATTGTGGTCTCACAGAGGTCCCTTTATCGCATAGAGAATAAAAGGAAAGAGAAAGAGAGGCAGGGGCTTCTTTATAGGGATTGGCTGTGAAGTGGGAACAAACAGGAGGGTAGGAGAGCTGATGGAAGAGTGGGTTGGAGGAAAATATTTCTGCTCCGGTGCCACAGCTGCATGGGACGCGAGTAGTGTATACATATCTATAGCTTCCCAGGTGGCCCAGTGGTAAAGAAACCACCTGCCAATGCAGAAGACACAGGTTCGATCCCTGGGCCGGGAAGATCCCCTGAAGGAGGAAATGGTAACATGCTCCAGTATTCTTGCCTGAAAAATCTCATGGACAGAGAAGCTTGGCTGGCTACAGTCCACGGGGTCACAGCGAGTCAGACACAACTGAGAGACTGAGTACACACACTCACATAATCTCCCTCGTGGCATTTGTGGCTCCAGTTTTCATCAAGAAGCAAGGTAATCTGGATCAGGCTCGTGGAGGAGTAGAGTTAGTTGGAAAATGAGGGGGGTGCCTGGAAGGGCTGAGTCCTCCAAATGACATGCTCTGTGAAAGAGACTTGATGATAGCTTCAAGTAAGGATATAACCGAACTCTTGTGACTATCAGGTTATTCTGGGTAGGTGGGGGAAGTAGAACAAGATGACTCGTGACCCCTGCTTGATCCTCTAGCCATCAGTGTCACACTAGTAGGAGCAGAAACCACCTAGGAGGCGCCTGTATTCCCCACCATCAACCCCCAAGGCACAGTGCCCTTGAGCTAAATCTGCTCTGATCCTCCAGGCTTTTGTTTTGCTGAGTTTCCCTGGATCTTGGTTTGAGTCCACTCCAGTAGAGAAATATTGAGGGAAAGGTGGAAAGGAAATGATTACAGACCCGTATCTCCCCCGAAAATGACTGCGAACCCCAGTCTTCCAGGGGAAAATCTTGAACTCTGAACTGACCTGACCTTGTCCCACTGACCCTGAGACCTCAGGCAGCTGGAAAGAGAAAAGGCAGGGAAGCCCTCCAGCTCTCTCTGTGTACCAGAGTTAAGCTAACACTGTGAGATACAAATCTGCTTGTGGGAACACACGTGGCTTGATGCATGATGGTCCCAGCAGATGTATCTTGTCTGGATTTTCCTTCCCCTCCCCTGCCCCACATCAGAGGCTCAGCAGTCCTCTCTGCACATGCGGGTGAGCGACTGGGTAAGGGAAGTGCTGGAGATCACTCAAGGAGGTCTGGGTACTAGTTCCAGACTCGGCTTCTGATGTTAACTTGCGGCAAGTCCTTGAGTCATGCTCAACCCAGCTGTAAAGTGAGGGCATTTCAATTCCTGCCAGGTTTGTGATTTGAATTTGGGAGCCCCATGGGAGCCCCCCAGTTCATCCAGGAGGAGGACGCCCTCTCTGAAGGCATACACATCTCTGCTCATCAGGCCATTAAGGACTCCTTTCTGCTCCTAAATATCAGAGCCTTTCATTCCCATTCCTCCGCTTGTTAGCTGAGTGACCCTGGGTAAGATATTTAATTTCTCTAAGCCACAACTTCCTCTTCAGTTAAACAATGATAATAACGGTACCCATCTCATAGACCTGTTGGGTTGATTAAATAAATCATTATGTGTCAAGTTCTTCGGACAGAGTAGCAAGCACTTAATCAGTGTTATTACTATTTAATATGATTTAACTTGCACACCGTCCTTTCTGGTGAGTCTCAGCAAGTGCAGAGGTTTCGTTATTGACACTAATGACTAATCTTGGGGTGGAAGGAAAGGTTGCCTATGTTAGACCCAAATGAAACTCAAAACTGAGTTTCAAGCTGCAAAGCTGTTTTCTTTCTCACCAGAATCAGATGGGAGTGGGGAATTTTCAGGTGGATTTTGAATCCAAGACTTCAACAAAGCCGTAACTGTCAAAGATAGATTTAGGAGTGTGAGGAGAAAGACAGGGCCATTCGAATAAAACAGGACCTTTCCAGTATGCCTTAGGTGGTAGCCATGCTACCTTCAAAGTACTGCACACAAATCAATTTCTATTGAGGAAACAAGGTACAAAGAAACTCCCACATGGATACTCGCAGGATTTGCTGGTGTCTGGGGAAGATTATAAATTAGCTGGTTGCTGTTCACATCACAGCCAAGTGGGGCACATTCAGTTTTTAATCTGGACCAATTTTCCGGATCAAAAACCAGTCTTTCCAAGGGATGTAAATGAGCCCAGGAGGATATTTTCCCCCAAAGTTTATGAAGTAGCTGTCATTTTAATCTGAACAGCCTTCCAACCTGAAAGCCAGTGTCTGGATAAAATTATAAACTAATGAAAAACTCTCCTAGGCTGAACCTAGTCCAAACACTCCTTCTACCTCCAGTTTGATATGTTTAATGTGCCAAAATATTTAAAAGGTAGAGTTTCCGCTATCAAAACCCTATCTATGCTTCAAATAAAACCAAAGAGACCAACACAGCATATTCATGGCATGAATAACAGAATGAGACCCTGGATGAACCAGGTAGGAAATATTTTTGGGAGAGGAACTACAGAAAATAAGAAAGGAAATATGGTGAACCATATGAGCAGTTTTACACAGCAGGCTTTTGTGCAATACTTTTTAAAAAAAAATTCTGCTTAAATGAATTGAAATCTATCCTTAAAAGAACATTACATACACTACTCATGCTAAAGAACTACAGCTATAACTATGCATTGTTCAAAAAATTGTGACTAGATGGTTTTATGTAAATAAATCCACAGAAGGGAGTTGATCACAGTCTGCATATCTTAAGGAGGAAAGTTAGGAAGAATTCCTTCATTGAAATGCTTGAAGATATGTGTCTGTGTGCATTAGGAAGAGCAACAACATAATGTAATATCACCTGGGACTGCTGCTGTTTTCTCCAAAGTCAATAATCGGTAGGAATAGAATAGCTCATAATTTAAGTGTGCTTCAGATAATAATAACCACCATAAATTTCAAAGCAGGTAGCAAGGCGCAGGTGATGACAGCTTGAAGGGTGAAGGTGTCTTCCAGAACTGAAAAGCAACAAGTCATATTTCCAAGTAGAGAGATTCTTGAGCAGTGCAAATATTTAAGCAGTTATACAGGAATCTGCCAAGATTATTTTCTTTGCCTGGTGGCTCAGTGGTAAAAGAATCCGCCTCGCAATGCAGGAGATGTGGGTTCAATCCCTGGGTTGGGAAGATCCCCCAGAGAACGACATGGCAATCCACTCCAGTATTTTTGCCTGAAAAAGCCCATGGACAGAGAGAGGAGCCTGGTGGGCTACAGTCCTTGGGTCTCAAAGAGTCGGACACAACTTCACCAGTAAAAAGCAGCAAAATTTTCCTGGTTTGTCTCTTTCATACGGGAAAAAATTATTTGTGAAGACAAACTGCACTTTCTGCAAAGTTCTGCAGACTGCATTCAAATAAAGTTATATTGTTTCCATTGTTCATAAAATATAATTAATCCCATAAGACAACCCCCTCCTTACAAAGTAAACTAAGGAAAAACAGATTTTTCAGAATTCTAAATATAACCTCAGCGAAGAGGAATAAAAATCATTAGAGAAACAACGGTAAGAACTTTCTTGCTTAGAATGTTCTACTTTGAATAATCTCACCACACAGGCCAAACCAAAGTAGACAAAAACACAAGAAGACTTTTTACCTGTGTAACTAGAGGAAATGCAAGTTACTGTGTTTCAAGTTCGCTCCAGTTCACTGTAATAGCCCATGAGGCTATATATTCTTTGTTTAAATCGCAAAGGCAGGAGCTGAAAACATAGCATAAAATTAACCCACTGGGCGCTCCTTTCTGAGAAAACAGCCAGAGTGGAGGAAGCCCTTAACATCTGAAGCCACATCCCGACACAGTGCGTGGGGAGGACCGGAGATGGGCACACCAGGCAAATCTTCAGACACTCAACAGGAAATGGCTGGGCTCTGGGCAGTATGAATTCAATAAGCTGTTTAGAGACACAGGAGGAGCCGTTTGACTTTTCCTGCACAGTTGCAATCCTTCTAATTGAGACAGCGTGATCGCTGCCACAACTCTCAGCTCTCTGTGGTCAAATACAGAGCCCTCCACCTCTACTGTGTCTGGAAAAGAGATCCTTCTTTCAACAAACAAATATCCCTGGAACCGCCTGGGCTGGGAATGGGAGGGCGAGGTTCGCGTCTCTTCTGGGCTCTGGTCAGAGAAGAACCCAGTTAAGTGCGGCGGGTCAGGGGTGAAAGAAGGTGCGCCGCCAGCTCCGCGTCCTCACTGGGGACGGGGACCTGGGCTCTCCGGACGCGATGCTCCCGGGAGCACTGGTAGCATTACCTGGTTTTCTGAGCGCTGATCTGAGCGGCGCAGCGCCGGGTCCGAGGCTGGAAGCCAGGAGCAAGAGCCGGAGCAGGACTCCTCGGATTAAATCCATTTTACCGCGGGCGTCTGCAAAGTTTCACCAAGTCCCGGGCGCACACCGAAAGGGCGTCTCCTGGGAGACGTGGGGGACGCGGCCCCCGCGGAGCCCCTGACCGGGGTGAGCGGGCGAAGGACCGAGGGAGCTGGACCAGGAGGCGTCCAAACAGGCAGGACAGCAGCCGGGAGGTCGGCGTGCCGGAGTGAAGCCGGCTGCGAGCGGCAGGGCTTTTCGGGGGGGCGGGGGCGGCTGAGGAAGCCGACGGGGAGGGACTGGCTAGCCGCGGGAGGGAGGGAGGAAGGCTCGACCCGCCCGGGGATGGAATTACAATCGAGTGGAAGTGAGAGGGGCAGGCCCTGAGACAACTGACTATTCGCTCACCGCTGGGGCAGACAGCCCGCCCATCACCCCTCTAGCGACCCCCTGCGCAGCCCTTCTTGGCTGGTGACCTAGATTGGCGCGCTAGGAGGGGCCGACTTCAACCTCTAGACACGCCGGGCAGGATTTAGGTGATTGCGAGCCGCGGACCCTCTGCCTTGGTCCTGATTTTGAAATCTTGCATGGCACCCCCCCGCCCCCCCTCCCTCAGTAAACTCTCCTCGGGCCGCGCCCCTCTGGGTCGCTTCCACCTTCCTTGGGCACTTTTGCCAATACCTCCAAAGGTGGCTCTAGCCGCTCCACCGCCCTCGGGGTAAGGGGCGTAGCAGGGGGGAGGGGCGGGGGGCTGAGGTTCGCATTGCGGGGGGCTAGGAGGAAGAGGGGGCGGGGCCGGCCAGGACCCAGGCGCTAAGAAGATAAATGGGATTTAACACGCGCATATGGAGAGCTGAAGCCGGTCACTCAGTTGGAAACGCCGGGTGGAGATTATGGCCCGGCGCGGGGAAGTGGGGTGCCCTCCCGGTAGAGGAAGGCAACTGGAGACCCTCCAGGGGAGGAGATGAAGCTTTAGGTTAAGCCCGGCCTTGGGGGTAAGGAAGCGAGCTCGAGCTCCCTGGTAGACCGAGAAGACACGGCTGGGAGCGGGGCGCGCGCCAGCCAGGCTGGGCCTGGAGGCCAACAGGGGGTCCTGGCCACTAATCGTGGGACCAGGGTCCCCAGATCGGCTCCCTATTTCCGAAAAAGACCCCTTCTCCTCCGGATTTGCTGCGGAGAACTCAGGAAAAAGCGCCTGTTGCCGGATTTCCAGGTGGCGAGAGAAGAGACGCCGGGACTCCAGTCCTGTTGCTCAGCCGCGTGCTGATCTTCGAGCCAAAGAGAAGAGAAGGCGGATTCAATAAATAAACAAGCGGGAACAAACCTGGAGGAAAACGCAGCCTTCGCCGGTTCCTGGGGGGAAGATCAAAGGCCCTAGGAAGTACCCCGCAGAGGGAGCCTGGTGGCTGACCTGGGGGACTCCGCGCCGGCCCCGCCCCACCGAGCGCGCCCGGGAGGCTCCAGGCGTCCAGGCCGTTCATTGTTAACCTGGCTTCGGGGAACTGGAGGGAACGATGGTGACTATCTCCCTCCGCCTCCTCCCCGCAAAGATTTCTACTCTTCTTTTAGGAGTGAAGTATTTATTCCCTGGCTAGAGGGTTTGTAAGGGGCCGGATCTGGTTTGTTAGCAAAGCTGAGAATACATTCGCTTTTGTTTGGGCGTTCTCAGGTGTACTACTGTCCATAAAGAAATTCAAAGTCCACTCCAACTTGAGTCATTGGAAGTCTTAGATGTGACACCAGAGTTTGTCCTTATACACGGAGCTGGAGGGGAAAATTCCTACAGACTACGCCCTTCACTTTGAAGGTGATACTAAATATATGTCTGGTAGCCAGACAATGCGTCTGCCCCACAAGGCTGCTAGTCTCAAAGGTAGCAGAATCTTAAGATTAGAGGTCATCTAGGCCCTGCCTCCATTCTACTCAGGAATCTACCATCAGCATCCTTGCCTTGAGCTCCATCTGTGATAAAGAGCGTCTACCTTACCACCAGCCAAGAAGGGGTTGGACCTAAGGTGACACCTAGAACCAAATAACTGTTACCCTGAAGTTATCTCCCATGTTGATTCTGCTCTTGCCCACTTAAAAATTATTCTCCCTGATGTAAAAATTGGAAGTAATATTAACCATTAATATTATGGCTAGCATTTATATATCACCTACCATGTACCAGACCCTCTTTAAAAGACTGTTTAATCCCACTGTCAGCCATACCAGCTAGGTATTGTTATTAGTATTATCCCCATTTGACAGATGAGAAAGCTGAAACATGTAAAAGTTAACTGCGTGCATGCTTAGTCGTGTCCAATTCTTTGCCACCCCATGGACTGTAGTCTGCCAGGCTCCTCTGTCCATGGAATTTTTCAGTCATCAATACTGGAATGGGATGTCATTTCCTCCTTCAAGCCATCTTCCTGACCGAGGGATCAAACCTGCATCTCCTGTGTCTCCTGCATTGGCAATAAATTCTTTACCATAGAGCCGCCTGGGAAACCCGTAAAAGTTAAGTGACCTGCTCTAAATCATTCAACTTCTGAGAATCAGCACTTCAGCTGAATCCCGGTGGTCTGGTTCCAGAGTCCAGACTTTGAGGAAGACACAAGCAGACACAGCAGTGGACCAAAAATCCTGAGATCCATGTATTTAATATTAGGCTCCACTTGTAGTGTATCTTGGCAAAATGAAGGGACTAGATGAAATCATTGCCATGTTCCAGGGTTTGCTTTCTCTTTATTATCTAATAAAACGGCACCATCTAATCCAAGTCTCTTTTTTTCTGAATATTCCTTTTCTCTTAAAAAATTTTTTTATTAGATACAGTTGCTTTACAATGTTGTTAGTTTCTACTGTACAGCAAAGTAAATTAGCTATATGTATGCATATATCCCTCTTTTTGGATTTCCTTCCCATTTAGATCACCACAGAGAATTGAGTAGGGTTCCCCGTACTCTACAGTAGGTTTGAATGTCTCTTTTCAAAAATCTATATAAATTGTCCATTGCGAATTTTGCAAGGCTGAGTTTCAGCCTTCCTGCTGACATCCTCAACAAGCACCTATACACCTCCTCACCCTTGGCCTTTCCATCCTCTGCAGCTGGCCATGGGTTATCAAGAAGCTGATTTGGTTCTATCAGAGTCCCCTTTGTTTCTTCTTTGCTGGGATTATCTTTGGTTATATTGTTATATTTTAGTTTTGAGGGCCTCTAATAGCTCCAGATTCTCAGGCCACTGAGATAAGACCTTACTTCTTGAAATCTGCTTGTTACAAATCTAGGGCACATGTTAGACCCAACTTCTTCCCTTCACTTGTCAAATTGCATCCCTTAAGGTTTTCTCTTCTAGTCCGACAACCAGCTTACAGCACTTGTAAATCTGATTAAAGACAAATGGAACACTTGTCTTTGACTCTTTTCCTGCCTTCTGGGAGGAGGGGAGCTAAAGGGGGCAAAGAGGTTTGAATGTTTCATTTAAAAAAAAAAAAAAAGCTGTGCAAATTCACTTGAGGTCTAAACTCAATTAATAAGGTCACCAGCAGAAGAGTGACCTGCCTGCTTTGCTCAGTATCATGGGAGAAGAGTATGATCTTTCCTCCATGGAGTGGATTTGGAGGCTGTTAGAAGAAAGTAAAGGCAAAGTTACCAATTATAGGATATTTAGGAAGTCCATGAATGAGAGTGAGAAATAGACAGCGTCAAAGAAGCAGCTTTGGATTTAATTAATTTTTTGAATAGGTTGCATGTACATATAAAATTTGAAATGTGCATCAAGTGGAGTAAACGGTGAAAAATAAGTTTCCTTTTACCCTTTCCTGTGTCATAAGCAATAAATATTAAGACTTTCTTGTGTGTCCTTCTACAGTTATTTTATGAGCATACAGTTATTTTATGAACATAAATATCTATATACTTAACACAAACAGATGCATCTTGTACATACTTTTTAACCTGAAGTGCTAGTCTCTCAGTAGTGTCCAACTCTTTGCAACCCCATGGACTGTAGCCCACCAGGCTCCTCTGTCCATGGAATTTCCCAGGCAAGAATACTGGAGTGGGTTGCCATTTCCTTCTCCAAGGGATCTTCCCAACCCAAGGATCAAACCCGGGTCTCCCACATTGCAGGCTGATTCTTTACTGTCTGAGGACCAGGGAAGCCCAAAGTGAAAGTGTTAGTCATTCGGTCATGTCCAACTCTTTGCGACTCCGTGGACTGTAACCCGCCAGGCTCCTCTGTCCATGGGATTCTCCAGGCAAAAATACTGGAGTGGGTTGCTATGTCCTCTTCTAGGGGATCTTCCCAATCCAGGGATCAAACCTGGGGCTCCTGCATTTTAGGCAGCTTCTTTACCATGTGAACCACCCGGGAAGCCCTTTTAACCTGAAGTTCCTTTCAAATTAGCAGATACAGATCTGCCTCCCTCTTACAAACTGCTGAATAATATTCTATTGTATGATGTACAACAATCTGTTCTTCCTCCTGTTGATTCCAGTGTTACTATTATAGACAACATTGCAGTGAATGACCTTGAATGTGTAACAGTTTCCACATGTTATAATAGATTTGGGGTACATTTCTAGGCTAGCCATTGCTCAGCCAGAGGGTAAGTACCTTTTCGTTTTGATAGTTTGGCCAAATTTACTCCTAAGGACATTTTACAATTTACACTCCCACAAGCAATATAGGAGCATGACTATTTCCACAAACTTTCACCAACACAGTGTCTTATCAGACTAGAACTATATATCATATAATACATATTACCCGTTTTAAATGACATACAACATGGACAGAAAAATGCACAAAAAAAGAAGTGTGCCAACTGATGAGTTGTAACAGAGTGAGCACATATGTGTAACTACCATCCAGACCAAGAACTAGAATACGACCATCACCCCAAGAATCCCGCCTCGTGCTTCATCCGTCCGTGTATATATGAAGAGAGTTCACACTTCCCTTTCGCTTTTCCTTAAAATACACAAATAAAAGTAGGTCAGCAAAAAGTGTGAACACTCCCCATCCTCAATATGAAGCAAGCATTAGTTGAG